TATGTTATTACGCGGAACGTCATTTTCGTTCGAGGGTTTTAATTCAAGGGATACGATGGCTTTTGGAAAAAAGGTCCTCCGTGGTGGCCTAATTACGGCTCAGAGAGATAATTATTCGATTATTCACACTCGCTTGGGCGAAAATAATAAAAAGAACCTAGAGAAAAAAACGGGGATTTATGGGCTATTACGATTCGTTCTACTGGTAGAGCTAAATGTACGGCAGCAGAAAAACCAACGAGCACTGCCTGCCATCTGTAGTGGATATCCCAAAGCAACCACTCTCGAGAAATCTGCCTTCACAACGGCTGATGAAGTAGAAGACGCATGCGTAAATATTAGCCAAATATCAATGTACGAGAATTCTCTTTTATTATCTCCTGACGATAAATTAATCGGTAATGTAATTTCAATCATCAAAAGAGATCTATCTTTCCGTGATAACGTACGATAGTTGTATATATATATATATATATATATATATATATATTATTTTTATATCTTTATGATAAGTATAATTCTTTATTTTTTACACGAAAGTGTTAGCTATTACTTTAAATTAATTTTAAAAATTATTTTTATTTATTGAAGCTATAAACTATTATCTATTTAAAATATATTAATCAATAAATGAGTAAATTTTTTTTCATAACTTGAAAGAATTGTATTTGGTATAGATGATTAATATTATATCTCTGAATTAAGGGGAAAAAATATATAATTCCCATATTCATAAGAAGAATAAAATGTGATTACTGTTGGTAAACATCCTGGAAGAAATTGCATTAGAATATGTCCAAAGAGGCAAAAGAAAAAAGAAAAGAAAATTTCCAGTTCGACTCTCGATCATTAATGAGATGACTTGTTTTTGTTATAAAAGATTACATTATAAATCTTTTCTTTAGTTTTCTTCAAATTATATTTGCATTAAAGATTGACCTATTATTTGTTGAAGATATAATCTATGTAAGAATTATTTGTGTAATAAATCGCGAATAATAGTGACAACTGACAAAACTCGCACACAAATATACGTGATTCAATCCGCATGCAATATGTATCTACACTTACACATGTGCGCAACACCTCGCGATAAAAGCAATCTTTCTGCCAAAGATATCTAAGAATCGCTGTTCTCGCGACGAAAAGTCGCTCTCGAGTTTTGACGAGGACCCGACTTCTCCTCGAATTCATCGTCAACAGGAAACCTCCCTGTCTTCCCTGCCTTCGGCGAAGGCGAGCAGGAAATTTCGATCGCCGTTTGACGACGCAAAAGTAACCGGCATGCGGGAAGAAGGGGGAGGGGAGGGAGGGGGGGAGGCGGAGGAAGAGGGCTCTACTCGCGCGAGCGTGGCGCGCGATATGGGCGGCCGTGCGCGTGAACGCGCGCGTAAGAATATAAAAGCAAGAAGACCGGATGACTGCTAACTGTTTGTTAGTCTTGGGTTTTAAAGTCCGCGCGTCTGTCAGTCCAGAGACGTAATATTAGTGCTCAGTGTATGCCGCCGCCGCCGCCGCCACTCCCGCCCGCTCATTCACGCTTCCTCTCTCCCTTCTTCCTCCTTTCTCCTTTCCTTGCGTTTGGATCGCGGCGTCCCGTACGATTCACTCCTCGATCGATTCTCCTTGGCATCTTGAATTTTTCGAATCATTATTGCCATCACACACTTAAACTACTATACTACTATACTACTATACTATAGAGATCTGCCAATTATTCAAATGTAAATCGAATCGAATTGAATCTTATCTTCAATTCGAATTTGAACTATTCGAAAATTTCGAATCTAAAAAGTTCAAATACGAGTCATATACATTAATTAGTATTATTTTTCTTACATAGAGATCTTTTCTTTTATTATCTTTATCTTATTAAAACTCGACATAACGATAATTCTATCGTTAATTAAAAATTATATTTCAATAATTCGATTCCATTTCATCCGATTCAATCCAATTCGAGTAAAATTTGATTCGATTTAAGATACGAACAAAGAAATAAGATTCAATTCGATGTCAAAAAAACCTTGATTCGCACCGATCTCTACCGTGTAAACGTATATATCTTATTGGAATTAATAATTACACAGTACTATGTAAAAATTATAAAAATTTTACGAGTTTAATAATTTTATGAAAATTGAAATTATGATTAAAATTATAATTTAATTTAAAACTTAAAATCTGTAATTCTTAGTTATTTTTTAAATATACCAACAGAGATCATCTACCAAAGTTATTCAATCTCAAATTTGTAAGATAAATGGACAAATTTTGAATCCGCGCAATAAGTAATCAGATTACCATGTAATAAGCGTTATTCATCGATCCGTCTTAGCACTTTCCCGATAAAAAAAAAAAAAAAAAGCCCCGATAACTCGTCTAGGTGGACCGCTATAAATAGTTTAAAATTACTCGGAGGACCGAACGGAGCGAGGGTGTTTTAGCGGCCATTCTGGAAAAATAAACGATCGCGACCGCGTAGGGAACAGATGACTCCGCCACGCGGATGCAAACTCCTCGTTGGAGTGACAGCCGCCGTGGCCGACGATTGTTTTTCAGTTTACGTTAACGTTTCGCTTTCGTTCCGATACGGTCGTTGAACGATCTCCGTTCGCCGTCTTGGTTCGCAGTCTTTATTGACTGCCGGTTAAATCGGGCTCGGAAGGGGCCTCGTACGGAAACTATTTGATTTTATGGGACATCTCCAGTCGCTCTCTTCGCGCGACAGGCGAAAACGACGAGCCTGTTAAAAGGGTGACTGGCGAAGCTTCGCTCGAGACGAACGGCCGGTGACTTTTTGCGCAACGGAACCGACTCGCCGTATGAATGACGACTGCCGGAGTTGGCAGGCGGATGCTGCCGAGATGTTCGGTCCTCTGACAGAGATTTCATTTCATAAATGAGCGACACTTTGGCCTGTAATTGGTCGACCCACGTCCTCACGTCGACGTGTGTGTGTGTGTGTGTGTGTGTGTGTGTGTGTGTGTGTGTGTGTGTGTGTGTGTGTGTGTGTCTCTCTCTCTCTCTCTCTCTCTCTCTCTCTCAATAAAAAATTTCATTCGCTTTTAGAGGTTGCTCGTCGGCGCGATCTCGATATTTCGCGAACGGTTTACTCGGAAAAAGAAATATCCGAGTGGCAGAAATCGAGCGAAGGAGGAAAAGACGAGAGGCAACAAAGTACAGCGAGGTCGAGTAAAGGATGACGGCGAAGGGCGGACGCCGGTCTTGTTCGGGGGTAACTGAAATAAGGTATAATTTTCCGCGCCAATTAAGGTCTTTAAGAATTGCGACCAATTGAGCGGGAGGGTCAGAGCCTTAGCTTTAGGGGAGAGATGTACCACCATCTCCCTATAATTTATTATCGATTAGATTGGATCGAGAAAAAGAGGTCTCGGTATGTAGACTTAAGATTGGCTTATAAGATCGTCTGTATATAACGTGGTGTAACGAGCAAATGGCGGACATCGATTTTTCCAATTTCCGGTCTAGATACTTAAGATATAATGGCAGTACTTATGATACATATCTGTCCTATAGAAAAAGTTTATTAATTGTAGGTAATTATTGAAATTTATCTACAATACGTATGTCATTCACAATTTAATTACCAGTTTATAGATTTCTTTCATTCTTTCATGATATAACTAAAGGAATATAACGCAAATTATTTGATATAAAAATAGATAAATAATGACATAATATATATTTCGGATAATTAAAAATATATTGCCTTGAAATGGCAGCATTTTAAATATCTTTTCATTTATTTGAAAAAAGTACAAAATAAAATATTCTTTTACTATTTTATTCTTCTAATTTTTGTGATAAAAAGCAAGTTTATAATAATTTATTGTTAATTAAGAGCATAGGTTGGAAAAACTGCTTTTAGTGAAAAAAAAATATCAAACCCTCATTTTAATGGAAAAATTTTTTAATTTGTACAATTGAATTAAAAAATTATATAAACATAAATTATCTTTTTATAAAGATATGCTGTGATCTTCTTAATTAAGTACCAATTAAGATTTGATTTATTTTTGTGATCACAGAATGAATTTCGTAATCGATGTACATGTGTATCTGCACCTTTTCGAGAGTGTGAACGATATGTGCACCACCCGACGATGAGCAAGAGAGACGGGAAAAGAACGAAAGTATTTTCTCATCGATATCTCGAGCGCGCGAGGTGGTCATCATCAGATCAACTCAGGCGTAGTCCACGTTCCTGTGGTTCACACTTAATTAAACCGCCATAGGAACTCGGGTGCCAGCACGTGGCGGACAATACCGCGAATCTTTAGCGGCGATTGTTATGTAAAGCGTACTCTATATATGCACCGCGTAGTTTCTCTCGTATCGTATCGAGACGAGAAGTACGCCAGGCATCTACCATCTCGCTACGTACAAAGAGAATGGAGTAACTTTTTGAAACTATCAGCTGCGACTCCACTGACTTCCACTGACAGTGGTTGTCATCAACTGTGTATGTGTGGTATGGGCTTTAGAAACGTAATTTCTCGTCATATTTTATCACAGTTAGTAAGATGATTATCTCATCTTTTTGTCGTCATCTTACTAATTTGAAAAAGAACGTTAAGTTAATTTTAAGTGACCTATCACTATGACTCATATCAGATTTAAAAACATAATTTTATACATAATACATGCTGTGTATTTTGAGGTATGTGTGTGTATTTTTATATTTTACGTATATTATTTTTTATGATATTGTCAAAAAATGATGTATGCAAAAAACAAAATCAATAAAAAAAGTATCATTAAAACGATCAATGATAATTAAACAAGAATAGTCGATATAAAGAGTGAGAGAAACGATGAATAAAAAATGATTATAAAAATATTGATCAGGAAATCACAAAAGGACTTTATTATAGTTTGCTGTTAAAGAAGATATCAAATTCAATAAAAAAATTGATTCGAATAAAGTGATAATTGTTTTTTTTTTTTGATGCGCATTTTAATCAAATGTCGAATATAAGTAATCGCACAACATACATCGAATAAAACTGTCATCATGTCTGACGAGCGTGAGTGATTGCTTCGTCACAAGAACTTAAGCAGCCTTTTATCATCTTCGCTGACACGGACGACAAAACGAGAAAATCTGTAAAGTGCCCCGTACGTTTCCGGCGAGGTCGTGACGAGCGCGATGATCTAAAAATCCCCCGCGATCCCACTCCGTGGAAGAATCTTTCCCATCTCGTGCCACCGCCTGGATTGGCCGCCGCGGAAAAGCGACGTCGCGCGGAAAAGCTGTCGATTGGCCGTAGGGCGAGGCTTGCGTCGTGACGGAAGCGTCGCGTCCGATTGCACCGTAGAAGCACCCAAAGCTCCACCTACCTCAGAACGCGCGATACTCGTGCAAGCTCAGGAGAGCCGGGACCGAGAGAATGAGTGACGAGGAACATCATCGGGCTCGTTAAGAAGAGAAGAGAGAAATATCATTTCTACGAGTCAGAGAGCGATCGATAACTGATGAGAGCATCGTCGAAATCTGATAAACGTCGAGCTTCTCTCGATCAATAGAGACAAAAACCGCCTTGAGTGAAAGCGTCTCATGTGAAAGTAGAGATCTTCAGAAGAGCTTCAAAACGGAAAGAGAAGAACGGGAGGAAAAGAACAGAGAAAGAGAGAGAAGAGGGCGAAGCAGTTCTTAGCGGTGGGGGTTGGTCGAGTAAAAGAGGGAGGCTCTTCTCGAGGGAGGAAGAGGGGAGCAGCGCTGGTTGAGTGTGGTAATTCGAAAAATAAGTCTCCGCGGGCGACAAGCACACTTGACCGAAGCACACTCGAATCGGAAGGGTCGAGCACTCGGGAATAACAATTAATAACGCCAGTCGACCTACCAACAATCTTCGGGCTGCCCGAGGGCCTTCAGAAATTATGTGAACGCGAAAGGCGCCTAGCATTCGTCGGCGCCGATCTTCCGATTTCAACGTATCGACGAGCAAGAATGACAGCATGTGTGGCTAAGAAAATTCAATGTAAAATTTTTCAACTTTTTTCGATCGGTTTATAAGAGTGAGAGAAGTCAAAGTTTGCCGCGAAGAAAAGATAAAGTGATAAACTTAGATGGTGAGAATTCGTAATATGTGACGCAATGAGCTTTTCGTGTGTGGACAATTGATAACTGCAACTATGACGAAGAAGATTTGAAGAGCGGATATTGTGTTAAAAAAAAAAAATTATTTTGTGGCGACTTTCATTCGTGATCGTCGAGAAAGGGAACGGTGGAAAAGTACGGAGTGATGGAGGACGACAAGCGCAGCGAAGCTTCGCCGAAACCATTTCAACCGACCCCTTTCAGTATCGCCGATATTCTGAGCCGGAGAAACTCCTGCGCGGATTCGAGGAGATGCGACTTGGAAAAAATTCAGGCCGCTGTCTCCACGCCGGTGAGGAGGCACAATCGCGAGTACGAGCGCGTGGAAAACGAGCAGCTCGACGGAAGCTACGATCATGATCAGGTGATTCATTATTCGAAATTACCCACGCCGGAGTTGAGTATGGCGCACGAGTTGGATATCTTAAGGAGAAACCTGGCGCAAGCAAACTTATCAAGTTTCGGAGGCATCCCGCACTTGACCCAAGGAACCTTCAAGAATCACTTCGAAACTCTGGGAAACCTGACAGCGTATCAGCCTGTTAAGGAACCGATGGAAACTTCTCATAGGCAGCAAGACGAAGCTTTAGATATGAGTAAAAATAAATATCTAGGTACGTAATGCTATGAATAAGTTATCGTTACGTGCTATGAATAAGTTATCGTTACGTGATACAATAAGCAATCATGCAATGAACTTCCTTTAATCCTGGAATAAAACATCAAATGAGAGAGCATCGTACACTTAAAATTTTTTATTATTAATCCCGCAATACTAAATTAAATAAAAAAATAGGTGGCAAATGGCAATTTGATAAACAAATGAAGTAGAACTTTTTTTTAATATTACTAAGATTATCGTTAGAAGATTGCGATCATAGCGATTCATTATTGATCAGAGCTTTCAAGGACATTAATTTTTAAGAAAAGTTAGATTGATATAGTATATCGCTTTCGAAAACAATATTTTTCGAGCTCATGGTGGGAGACATGGTGGCCAGGGGATTTTGTATTGGGCACGAGGATGCGAGCTTAAGAGGTCATTTGAGCAGATACGCGCGTAACAGACGAGCACTTTTCGAGGGTTTTTAAAGTTAACCCGAGCGCAGATAACGTAATTGAATGTAATTTTAGTAGCATAAGTGGCACTCGACTCTGCAGACGTCACGAGTACCGGCTACTTCTTGCACTTGTTCGATCTCTGGCCACACTCTGTTCCTCTGTGTCTCGAGCACGCAAGGATCTGCGGATTACCTCCCGTTTGGATCAAACCGTTTTAGATCAAGGTTACGATCGCTAACTATTTCCGCGTAAACGTTCGTGGTTGATTTATTCATGACAGATGCTAGCGCTAGGATATGTAGTTCCATATAGAATAGCAATAATTCTTGGTTAATCGTCTGCATCCGTTAACACAATATACATCGCGCTGTGCGTTGCACTATAAACTACAGTAATGTTTCATATTTAATTGTTTATTTCAATGTTTCATATTTAATTAATTATGGTGTGGTTATTTAGCGCGTTGCGCTGAGTATCGCACGAAAGGTAGAGATATTTCTTAGTTTATCTTTGCATCCCTTTGTGCCACATCCATTTTTTCGTAATATTTACCCTCGTTACCGAAGATATAGAATTACGTGGTCAAATAATGTTATCTTAGTATAAGGGTAAACAGATACTCTCCCTCGCATTCTGACTGCTTTGTGAAATCAATCACACTGATTAACATCATTCATGGCAGGATTTCATATGGATATAAATGATTTTGATCCACTTAGAACTGTGAAAAATATTTCTCAGTGGTTTAAATAATATAAAATTCTAATCATTATTAACCGTTAGCATCACTCGATTTCCTCGTCTCAGATTTACTATAAAACTATATGTAAAATAAAATTCGATAATTTTATACCAATTCTATTTCTATAATCTTGTATATTGTAATGCAAAAGAGGAATATAAAATGATTTGAAAAAGATGATTGATAGAAGATTCAATATAATTTCAGGATTTATGTTTATAGAAAAATATTACATAAAATACAGGGTCAGATCAAGATTTCATAAAGATAAGTTTTGTAAAAAAAAAAAAAAGCACAGAACTAACATTACGAAGGGATGATATATAGTGTCTCCTCTTAAGTGAAGAATCGTCACCTGAAACCGCACCGATAGGATATTGTTTGCAACGGCTCGAGGGTGGAGAGGTAGGCACGAGCTGGCACCGATTCAAGGTGCACTCAGAAAATTACGAGTCCACTTTCGAGGGGAAATCTCTCCAGTCATTTAATATGATAATGGACAAGTTGAAAGAATTGGCGTTGTCGCGACAAATTGCTCTCTCTCTCTCTCTCTCTCTCTCTCTCTCTCTCTCTCTCTCT